ATTCTATATTGGAAGTGAGAGGTAAGTACCGTGATCATGTCGCAAGGAAATATTGGGAGTACATAGGTGTCGAGTCTGACTTAGAAAGTTTATTTTGTTAATCAAATTTGTAAATATTCACTCCAAAATTAGATATGTAATAACCCGAGCCGATCACTAGCAGATATTGTACTATTTGAGATTTCTCTTTCCGTGTCCTCTTTGGGTTTAATAACCGACTTTGATACCATTTGTAACAGCTCAAACCCACCGCTAGCATATATTATTTTTGCACTCTTATAAAGAACACTTAGTTCGATGAAAAAACAAGATATTATATATATTTTTTAAAATACAGGCATTAAGAAAATGAATAATTTAGTGATACAAAATTCACCCACCACACGTTATCCTTGTTCATTCTCTATATTTTTCTGAAGTTAGTGGCGATAAATTGACGAGATATTAAGGAGATTTTGAAGTTATATCTTTCAATTTGCTTGTTCATCGCCAATTTAATTAGTTAAATATTAAATAAAAGTAGCCGTTGATCTCTATAAATAGAAAGAATTAAGGGATAATGGGCAACAAAGAGAAAAAAAATGGAGTGGAAAAGAGGTGCTTTAATTGCCATGGTGGGGCTGTTGCTGATGGCGGCTTTTGCAGAGTCCGCCGCCGTCCATGGCGGCGAAGTGATTCAGCTAGTTTCCGACGGAGTGAATGATTTCCCAAGGAAGATGATGAACGGTGCCCGAGGTTGCCCTAGAATCCTTATGGAGTGCGAAGTGGATTCCGACTGCCTTCCTGGTTGCATATGCCGGCCCAACGGCTTCTGTGGTTGAACCACCGCCGTGTCGGAAGAACCTCCGCCGTGTCGGATCATCTTCCATGTCTATGTGCGTGTCTTTTCTATTTATGTGAACAATAAAAGTCTATTTGTCACTTTGATCACTCTCTTGTTTATGAGTGTTATGTGATCAATTTGTGCATGACAACCATATGTAATCTTTTCCATGTCACTATGAACCTATCTCGTTTTATTATCGTAATTCATCCGTTAAACTCTACAATGTAATATCTCTTACGTTCATACGAGGAAAGTTGAATAATTGAATCTCACATGGATTGTGAGATCTCACATCGATTAGAGAGAGAAATAAGTGTCAACAAAAATGCTGGGCCCCAAACGGAGTAGATTGTGAGATCCCACATCAGTTGGGGAGAACGAATAATTTTTTATAAGGGTGTGGAAACTTCTCCTTAGCAGACACGTTTTTAAAGTCGTGAAACTGATAGTGATATGTAACGAGTCAAAGTGAACAATATCTACTAGTGGTGTGTTTGAGCTATTACATGATATAACTAAACAGTGAGATCTCGTGTCGGTTGAAGAGAGGAATGAAAAATTTAAAGGGTCTGAAAACCCCCCCTAAGAGATATGTTTTAAAATCGTGAGATTGACAGTAATACGTAACGTGTCAAAACATATAATATCTGTAAATAATATCATAGCCAACCACCGGACAATGTGTCGCACTGCATTGAACTATAGTTAGATAAAAAAAATCTCAAAATTAATCTCAAAATTAGGTGTTGATGATAAGGCTATACATCATCTAAATGAATTTTTAATTAAGAAAAAAGGTTATGGACTTAAAAAATGAAAATGACTAAATTTATATTTTAAAGAAAATATTATTATAGCTATTTAATTTTCAAACGCTCTTCCAAAAGGTCACGTATTATTCAATGAATTCATCGAATCTCAAGAAATTTTCCAATGATATAATCTCAGCCACACAAATAGTATAGATTTCAAAAGAAAAGGCGCGGATTCAATTAAAATATTAAGATAAAAGAATTAAAATTATATATATATATATATATATATATATATATATATATATATATATATATATATATAGATTATTATTTAGTTGAAGTTTATCGAGTTTTATAAAAAATGTTTTGTTATCTATATAAGATCTCATCGTAAGATTAAAAAAAATTTAAGATAAAAGGTGTTATTTTATAAAAATAAATAAATAAAACACCTCATTCATATATTAAATAATTGAAGATATAATAATGGAAAGAAACAAAATGATTCCTATAATAAAATTTTTAAATAAACAAAAAAATAAATAATCTAAAAGCTCAAAAATCGAAATCAAATTGATCTTATTTGATTTTTTTTTTCTTTTAAAATATTTGCAAGTTGATCTCATCATGTCGATCTAATAAATAATATATTTAATATTGGTTAAAATACACGTGATATATTCTATATTTTATATATAAATGTATATTTTAAATTATATTAGTTGAATGTAACCAAAAAAAAAATTAAAACACGTTCGCTAAAGAGAAGTTTTCACACCAAATCAAAAATTGTGTTTGTTTTTTTAGGACTACGACCATCGACTTTAATGTTTGTTTTTTTAGGACTACGGCCATCGACTTTATCTCCATTTTTTAATCTTATCTTCTTGGAGTAAGAACAAGTTTGAAATGGAATATTTTTCTATCCAATTATCTTAATTGAATTTTAGTAAATTTATATTTGTGGTCCAAAAATTTCGACAATACGACAATTTATAATTTAAATTTAAAAATAATATAATCATGTTTACGATATTTATGAAATAATTTGATTTCAAATCTTCGTTAATAAATCTTAAATTATTTAAGGATGACGTTGACATGGAAAACTTCAAAATAAAAACAACCCTAATGAAAACAATAATAGTGATTAAAAAAAAAAAGAGATCGTCATTTTTTTTAATTATTAAAAAAAATCTATTTATCAATAATACATATGGCGTTAATAACCAATATTTTATAAAATTCAAATATTAAAATATTACAAATCATAATGCATCACTAACCTCTGTTACAAAAATTGAATATTTTTATTTTTTTTAAGTAGGATCAGGTAAGTTGAGTTGAGTTGGATTGTAAATCTATTTTTGGGTCGATAAAGTTGACCCGACAAAACAAATGTCAAAATAATACACTTATGTTCCATATTTAAAATATTTTAATGCACAAGCCACATGTAATATTATCTCTTAAGATAAGGATTTAATTTTGATAAGACAAAAAATCTCGGAAGTATCGAAAATTTGTAATCCACGTTCCACCATGTTCCTTCTATATATATATATAGAAATAATAGTTATATTCAAGTAGTAATTTAGTTTGAAAATTCCATTCAGTATTGTTACTCATTCAAATTTATACGGGTATCATATATAATATACATCATAAGTCTTGTGATAAGAAATTAAATTTCCGTTCAAATACGTTTATGAAAGAGAAACATAACGAATTGTGAATTGTTAATGAAATGATAAATAGTTAAAGAGGTCAACGAGCGTTTTTAGAGTTTTGGGGATAGAGGGACATGAACCCTCACGATTTTTAAACTCGATGGATTTTCCTCTCATTATAAATTTCATGTAGAATGGAACCAACTGCTTTCCGAAAACTCGATGGTCTTTTTATCAACCTTTTCTTTGTTTGGCAAACGAAGCTTGAAGAGATTTGATTTGCTTTCTTAAGTGGATCAACTGACCCGAGTGCTTGCCTAAGCCCTTTGCATATGTTTTCAGCTTGATATGAACCCGAGCCTGAGATTATCATGGATTTTTTTTTTTACACGACTCTTTGCCTTAAAATAATTCAAACCCTACCCCACATAAAACCGAACAAAGTAGTTGAAAAAGATAAAGATGAGTAATAACCATTATTGTTGTACAAGCAACTACGATCACATGTTACTCATGCCCATTACAATAAAAGCTTAATTAATTTCCTATTTTAAAAATTATCGAAAAATAAATTTAGTCAAATATTTTGAAATTTAGAGACGAAAAATGGTGTATAAATACGTAACCAACTAACATAGAATTAGAGAAAGAGCTTATAAAAAATGGAGATGAAGATGAAGAACACGGGTTTCGTGGTGGTGATGATGGTGACGATGATTATGATGGCTACTCTGGCCGACTCCACGGTGGCGGAGGGCGGCGGCTTCAGGAGTAAGATCTTACTGAAAAGTGAAGGAAGTAGTGAATGTCCAACTTATCTGAGTTGTGAAACTCACGATGACTGTCCGTTCAACTGTGCTTGTTACACCGCCGGCCACTGTGGAGATTTCGTTGGCTGAAATTACTATGTTTCTTGTCTTTTCGGTTATGTGTTCTGTTTTTTTTGGCAAAATAAATCTCTGTCTGTATATCATTTGTCTCTCATGAGACTCATGATTATAATCTGTTTATGTAACAAAGCTTGTGTTGGTGCATAAATGGAAGGAGGGTTGTGTTTATTTGTGTTTCTTACCTCAACCCCACCGCTCGTAAAAAAATGAATAGCAAAAATGGTAACAATTCAAGTCCACACCGTGTGGAAACATCTTTGTACCATACGCATGTTATAAACTTTGAAGGAGAGCTTGAAAGAGAAAGCTGAAATAGAACAATATGTGCTAGCACTAGGCTCGAGTGTAGCGGTTACAAAAATGTTATAAATACAATTTTCAAGAATTAAAAATAAAAAATCAAATGATGACGAACACCCATTCGTTTTAGTCAAAATCTCACACATTATTTTCTTTATTTGTTAGGAACATATCGTTTTCATTTAATTATTGTACCTAATTGTTATTATCATGGTCGGATAACAATTTCATTTTTTTTTTAGAAAAATGACACGTTGAAATTATTAAAGATATTACTTTTCGACCACGATGAATATTGATTTTGAAACTTAGAATTTAAGATCCATAACTTTGTTAGACTTAATTTGAGATACCGAACATTAAATCCTTTCCTTCCGTATTACAACTCAAAATTTGTGGAATTGCATACAAAAATTTAATTAGATTTTGATAAGCAAGTCACAATCGGGACGGTAGATGTATATGACGTTTCTTACATATCCATGTCCACCCTGTAGTTACGTTAAGAAAACCCGTCATTTTTTGGTAATATATATTAAAAAAATTGCATATGAACAAATTAAAAACTACTTATATTAACCTGTGAAGTCTTGATTCTCAATCCATTTTGAGTGCCCTTTAAGGTGCAATTGCTTACATTGATGTTTTCAATTACGTTATATCCTCCATCTTCTCCTAAGCTTCTAATGCTATAGAAATTAAGATAATAATTACAAATTAATACAAAAACAATGAAATTATAATACGGAAAATGTCGTTTTCGTACCTTATACCGTAACCAGGTCCACAAGTAACACCGACGATATTGATATTAAAAGATCCATTGTATAGAGAAATACATTCGTCACCTACGATAAAATTAGAAAGCCATTATGAAATTCTAAGACAGTTTGAAGACAAATTAAAACTAAAAAGTAATACAAATTTGATACCTGTTTCGATTAAGGAGTTTTGAATAACAACATTGTTTGATCTAGAAACGTTGAATCCGTATGTGTTAGGGATGTTTTCGGGAGCAATGATGTGAACGTCTGAGATAATGGCATCATTGCAAGCGTTTATGGAGATATGATTTTTGACACTATTGATGTGCTTAGTTTCTCGTAGTCGGAGCTCAGTGCAGTTTTGAAAAAATAATGTCGGTAAAACCATATAATATAATTAATATGCACGGTATCAGTTTAACGATCAAACCCTAGAATTAGATCGTTAAAAACTTACCGTTGGAGGTGTGCAGTTTGAATGACAATCTTTCCACCAAGAAGAACTCTGGCCATCGAATTGACCTGCCCCATTGATATTGAGACCAGCTATGTCCAAGAATTGGATCCAGTTTTCTTCGTTATGGCTAGGCCATGCAGCCACGCTCGGAGCCATGATAGTTCCTCTAACCTATGAAACAACAACAGTGTATCAGTTCAAGCTCACTACTAGTAACTATGGTCAGTTTTGACTCATTATGTATCGCCGTCAACTTCACAGTTTTAAAACACGTTTACTAAACAAAGGTTTTTACACCTCTATAAGGAATGCTTCGTTCCCCTTTCCAACCGATGTGGAATCTTACAATTACGAAAGCGATTTTAGTAGCAATAGTTACCTCAAAATTTACTCGTTTAGGGTTACAAGGGCCCTCGAATTTGAGAGGCTTCAATAGGTAAGTTTTTCCAATTGGTACACGCAATGTTGGGATGCCTATCGTTGCCCCACACACGTCTTTCCATACTTTCAAAAAAGCCTTATCACCACAAAAAGAGATCGAGAAAGACTAATAAGAAAAGACAGAACTATACGTACATAAACAAAAACCGAATCAAAGCAATTACTTGTGAATCATCCGTTTTTCCATTTCCAACCGCTCCATAATCAAGAACATTAAAATCAGATGAAGCTGATACATTCCACAAGCTTAAAATGACACTGGAAAACATAAAAACTGAAGCAGAAAGTAGCTTCATCATTTCTAATCTGACGATATAAAAGCAAGAACTGGAGAAGATTTGAGGACCCAAAATGTCGAGTATGAATGGAGATATCGAGTCAAGTTTATAAACAAAGCATTAGGGGTAAAATGGGAAATTAATTAATTATTTTATAAAGGGAAAAAACCCATATTTTGGAAGTATGGAAAATTTGGTTAAATCATAGGCTTAAAGAAAGCAAACGTTGGGGACATTTTATTTTAGGTGACAAATTAATAGGTATTCTAATTTTAGTATGTTCATAAATCTTTGGATGCAAACACTTAATTTTTTTAGAAATTAATAGTTTTGGTGTATTAAATATGAATCAATTTACTCCAAATTTGAATTTGATTATCTTTTTTGGTAAGTTCATCGAGATTAATAATCCTCTAGTTAATTATTTATATGAATAAAAATCGTTTGTAACAACTAATTTTTCGACCCATCATGTAATTTCTTTGAGATCATTGGTGATTGATTTTCGAGTAGATAAAAATGATTGTTCGTGACACGTTGTTCTATATGTTCTTCATTCTTAAAAATTGTTCCAGACAAATAATAAATATGGTTATTTATACCGAAGGAAATGAGGTAACAATCGCCTGTAAAATCTAGATTTTGGATCGGACAAAAATACTAATTTATTTTGAACGTAGAAATATTGAAGTAAAGCTAATTTATTTTAAATCTTAGTTTAATTAGCCATATTAAGAAGTTATTTTCTTATTTTTCATTTTTCGGGTCAAACAATGCGAGGTTATAAATGGTATCATTGTGAAATTTTCTTCTTAGATGGTTACAAATGGTATATATTGAGCATTGTGCCAGTGAGGACGTTGGCCTCAGACGGGTAGATTGTGAGATCCCACGTTGGTTAAAGAGAGGAATGAAACATTTCTGGCGTGGAACCTCTTAGTAAAAAACATGTTTTAAAACTGTGAGACTGACAACGATATGTAACAAACCAAAACAGACAATATCTGCTAGTAATGGGTATAGACGGTTACAAATGATATCACACAGCCAATGCACGTGAGTGAGAACAAAGCATACTGTAACAAAATAACTTTATTGATTTATAGATCGTAAGATTTTTACTACATAAATCGATCACTTAAACAGAGAGCGGTCGACCAACGAGAGATTTATTATAATTATAGAGAACTTAAGAAAAGGAAAGTCAAAACACACAAAGGGTAGTAGTAGTAATAGTAATAGTAATAGTAGTAGGAGTCGGGATCGGGGTCGGGGTCGGGGTCGGAGGCATATGAAATGGATGGATATTTTCAGGTGCAGTTTCCTTGCAAGCAAACGCAGGGTGAAGGGCAGTGGCAATCAGAATAGCATCTTATTCGTACAAGACCACACCTATCGATTGGGCTTGGAAACTCATTTTTCATCATCTTGCTTCCAAACCCACTTTCCATCTCATTTTCACCGTCGCTCACGAGTTTGATCGCGTTCGTGCAGGCCGCCGAGGCTAAACCTACCATAACCATTATCATCAGTATCGCCACAAAAGCAACTCTTTTACTCTCCATGTTTCCAATGATGGCTTTCATTGATCTTGATTCTTCTATTTATAGCGGGGGAAGGGAAGGGGAGGGTGCATGTTTCAACAATTATGGGTGAGAACTTTAGAAGAATTTATTAACTCGAACGGGTTACTGTTTGAGTTGTGTTTAGTCTACGAAGGAGAACCTCATTTAAGATCGGACGGTTAAGATCGGACGGAAAAGTGTAATGGTACGTGAGTTCATTTAAGATAGTTGTGATTATGTCAAAATCATGACGAAATTGCGTTGGGGCCTTTAATATACAACGTTGTAGAAATAAATTACATTAATACGTAAGTTTTAGTGGCTCAATAATGTCCCCTACAATATACGTCATCTAAGAATTAATAAACTATTAACCCGTCATTTAGTAAATGAACCCTAGCGAGCCGGCCTATGGCATATAAATGAAGCCTTTGTGTGCCATAAGTTAGAGAATAAATAAGTCTCGAGTCATTTAAGAGACGCAGGCCTATACTTATAAAGAGAACTTAGATTAGTATGGGTAGCGGTTGTAGATGGGGAACAAAGCATTTCATTACTTATAAGGGTGTGGAAAACTCTTCCTAACATACACGTTTTAAAATCATGAGACCGACAGCAATACATAACGAGTCAAAGCGGGCAATATATGCTAGTGGTGAGCTTGAATTATTACAGATATGGGGTGAAGAAGTAAGAAGAAATTTACGATGATTTATCTTGAATGTGTGAAACGAGAAGTGCATTATTAGATCCAATATGAAAGTGTCAAATTTGAGCAAAAATATTTTTGTTGTTTGCTCGTTACAATATTATTTTAGATCTTTAGTAACTATTTCGATGTATGAATTGTTTGCTCGTCCTTCAGATTTATACAAAAATTGAGACCTGAGATGTGACCGTGCTCATGTGAGATCTCACGTTAATTGAAGAGAGGAACGAGTACTAACAAGGATGCTGGCCTCGAAAGTGGTGGATTGTGAGATGTCATATCAGTTGGACGGTTACCGTTTCAGGTCTTATTTGCATTCGGAATCACAAAACATGAAACAAATTTTATTTATGCACATTTTGAACACAAAGAGAGTGATGTTGATGATGACATAGATTCATTTATATGTACAGAAACAGCATAGCTTCCAGAGCTTTACCATTAGCCACAATATCCATGCTCGAGACAGATACACTCAGCTAAGCAATCAGAGTCCTTTTTGCATTCCATGAGGATTTTGGGACATACCCTTTCTTCATGATTAAGCACTCCCCATTTCATGATCTTTCTTGGGACTCTATGATTGATGTCTCGACCGTCGAAGACAAGGTCCATCGAGTCGTCGTCGATGGCATAGGCAGCCGACGACAACGTTGCTACCAGCAAAATTGCGATTAGAGCCACCGCGACAATCTTCATGCTACCCATTTCAGGTCTTTTTGTTAGTACCTCTTGGCGGTTTAGGTGCCATTTTATGGAAGAGAAAGAGGAGATTTTGCTCCCAATTTGACGTTGAAACTTGAATGATAAGAATGTGTATTGCATCTGGCTGGCAATGCCCATTTGTGTCATCTCGTTTTGCCACATGAGTATTGTGTGCATGGAAGCATTTTTCCAAGTGGTTGGTTGGCTTCCACTCTTGAACAAGACTATAATATATATTTTAGTCTTCAAATTTAAAATTTTTACTTTCCTACTTTACGGTGGGGTACGGTCGGGTCGGGCGAATTCAATCATAGACGCCTATTGGCATTCCAACCTTCCTTCTCTTTTCAGGGCATATCCAAAAGAGAATCCAGTGTTTCTTGGTCGTGAATATCTGAATAGGACGAACCGCCCGTGGTTTGCTTTGGAACAAAACAATTAGAATTAGGATAGGACGAACCGCTCCATGGTTTGCTTTGGAACAAAACAATTAGAATTAGGATAGGACAAACTGCCCCATGGTTTGCTTCGGAACAAAACAATTAGATTTAGGCTTGTTGAACTAAAATGTGTATTATCCATATGGGGGATATTTCAATGGAGAATATTTGACTTAAGACGAAGAGAAGGATTTATCTATTTTATTTAGTTATCCAGTTAAACCAATTATTCGTTATTGTAACATACATAGTGAAGGTGAAGGTCATTCTGACATACCAACACAAATGAAACAGACCAATATAAGTTCTTCCAACCAAACAGACTAATATAAGTTCTTCCACCAATTATTCGTTATTGTAACATACCTAGTGAAGGTCATTATGACGTACCAATATAAGTTATTCCAGCATGTTTTGTTCTCACTCACGCATCTTAGGAAATTCCGAAGAGGTCACCCACCATAAAATTGCTCAAATCAAAACATCCTTAACTATAAAATTCTTATGATTGAGTCACTAAGAAGGGAATGTGCACATTGTTGATATAGATAGTGACTTTCAATTTTTTTTATTAGGTTTCAGACCTTATTCACTCGCCTTATCTTCTTTAACTTAGCTTCCTCGATGATATCTCATCTCATCTCGGTATTTTGTAAGAAAAATGGTGCAGCACCCAATAGCAGATTCCACAGCTGCCACCGTTGGAACCAATGAAATAAATGATTGACCCATCATATCATCCGAACAAACGAAAAATACCAAAAAGTTCGAATTCACAGCTAATAACATTGGTTCAATTGACATTGACATAATAGGAATGCTTGGTCTATTTAGGAGGATTCGGGTTTGATAGGATCCGTTTCAGAAACTCCAGTAAGTTAAGAACCGTACGTCGAACCCAACCGTTCAATGTACCATTGTCAAATTCAAAGAAGATGGCTGCCCACTAAATTTCATGTTGAGCTGAACTCACCTTTGACGACTTTTTTTTTTAATTAATCTTTAAAAAAAAAAACATCTTACTGGCATAGAAAATGGCTGTTTACATCATTTCATGGAGACCCACCACTTTAATTTACACATTGTTCTTCACCAAACCAATACAATCAAACAAATTAAAACAAAAAAATAAAATAAAAATAATAACGTTTTACAAATCATTAATTTTCTGAATAATCCTTCCCACTTAGCCATTTTCTCAGCGAGGAAGGTTACCATTATTTGAAACCTGGCCAGCATAAGATGATCCAAACGCACCCTTACTAACGCTACGGGAATGCATTAACTCGTGCCCCGACCGTTGGTCCAAGTACTCGAACCTCGGTGTCTGAAAATCCGATCGTGTTCGTCGGTGAGATGACTCGTCGTTAGTCAAGAGATGGTAGCTCCGGCTCGAACCTACGGATTGGCTTCTATAGTCGTGGCGTGGCTTTTGCTTCTTCATTGCATGGAATAGATAAGGAATTAAGCCCTCCATATCTTTCTTTCTTTCTTCTAATTCTTTGAGCTAAGAGCTTGTTTGGTTTATACACAAAAGTCATAACAAAAGGTGATTTTATACTAGAATTATGGAAGTGGGTTGGAAGATGATGGTGTGAAATTTCGTTTCTATCCTTATCTTTTGTGGAGGAAGCTTCTTTGCAATGAGTTTGGTTGAGGGGTTTTGAGGGAATTCAAATGCTATTGGAGTGGCTAATTGGATAATGTTCTAGCTATGGCCTCTCATGGTGGAGGTATCAACTATGGGAGGCGCCTTCCATTTCAACGCGAAGACTAAGTAATGGCCAACTTCGTCTACAAGGGATCGTTTTTAGCCATATCCACAATAGTTCTTCATCCTATCTAGAATGATTTCGGGTCGATGATTGTAATGGTCAAAGTCCATTACTAATAGATATTGTCTGCTTTAGTCAATTACGTCGTCAGCTTCACGACTTCAAAATGTTCTACTTTAGAAAGAGGTTTTCACACCCTTTTAAGGAATGCATTCGTTCTCCTCTCCAACCGACATGGGATTTCACCGTCTTATCCCTTAGGAGCCAGCGCTCTCGCTGGCATACCGCTTGGTGTCTGACTCTGATATAACTGTAATAGTTCACGCCTACTGCTAATAGATATTGTCCACTTTAGTTCGTTACGTATCGTCATCAGCCTCAGTTTTAAAACGCATCTACTCGAGAGAAGTTTCCACACCCTTATAAGAAATATTTTGTTCTCCTCTCCAACTGACATGAGATCTCATAGTCTATCCCTTAGGGGCCTAGCTTCCTCGCTAGCGCTGTTTGGTGTCTGGCTCTGATATAACTGTAACAGTTCACGCCCACTGCTAATAGATATTGTCTACTTTAATCCGTTACGTCATCAGCTTCAGTTTTAAAACACGTCTACTAAAGAGAGGCTTTCACACCCTTACAAGAAATGTTTTGTTTCTTCTCTTACAAAATGTAGAATCTCACGTAGATTTTAGAAGCCGTTGGACATAAAAGAAGGACATGGAAGGAGGCAAAAGGATAATTGTCTACTCAACCTTAATTTTCTCGAAAGGAAGATAGCAAATTTGATTATGTTGTCTCTCCCATCATCTACCATTAGCACAAAAATCTAATCTTTCCCTTTTTGACCTTGTCACACCCTTAATTTTAGTCCTTTTATATTTAAATCTAGATTAATGAATTAAGTGTTTTGGTCTTTTGAATTGGTCATGAGAATCTTTTTCATTAAACAAAAGTCAATTATGTCATGGTGACTCGTGGGATTCGACTTCTTCATCAACAAACGACACAATGGTGATCTCAAATGAAGTGACGATGACTATAATACTTAAAAGATATTTTTTATAATTTAAATTGAACGACAAAAAGAACCATAAAGTTCATATATGCAAGCTGGAGTAGCTCAGTTGGTTAGAGCGTGTGGCTCTTAACCACAAGGTCTAAGGTTTAACCCCTTCCTCTAGTGTCAAGGCAAATTTTTAATATATTGATCATACGTGGTAGTTTAAAAAAAAAAAAAAAAAAATTGGCGTGTAGGTTAAGTATAATTAAATAAAGGAGACAATTTCGCCGCCATTGACGGCAAGGTTAAATTAACCTTATCTTCTGACATGGAGGACATGTCTGATTCGTAATAAACTATGAAAAATATGGATAATTTGTTTTCAGCTATAAATAAATACAAGGGTTTACTGGTTATGGGAAGAACAGAGAGATGGAGATGAACAAGAAGGTTGCTTTGCTGGTTATGGTGGTTCTGGCGGCGGTTATGGCTCAATCCGCGGCCGTGGATGAGGCGATTCAGCTGCCGTCGGAGGGCGGAGCAGGTTGTTACGACACACCGCCCCCTCCAAGAGTATGTCCGGTTATGATATTGCCGTGTAAAACTGACTCTGAGTGCTCTCCATGTTACTGTGTTAATGGCTCCTGCGTTTGATGAGCAAAAACAAAAGGAAGAAGGAAAAGATTGTCATTAAGCACTGTTGCGTTGTTGTTTGTTCTTTTCCTTTTTTTTCTATGTTCTAATAAAAAAAACTTCCCTTTTCATCACTTTTTGTCTTGCAAAATTAATCTCTCTCTATTTTTTTGGTGTTCATGTGATTACACGAGATTCTACGCCCGTTAGAGAAGAGAACGAAGTATTTTTTTATAAGGGTGTGGAAACATCTCACTAGTGTACGCGTTTTGTAATTGTGGAGCTCACTACAAGCTAAAATAGATAATAACAGCTAGCTACAAATTTAATGACCCATCTCACTAGTATACGCGTTTTGTAATTGTGGAGCTGACTACAACCTAAAACAGACAATAACAGCTAGCTACAGATTCAATGACCCATCTCACTAGTATACGCGTTTTGTAATTGTGGAGCTGAATACAAGCTAAAACAGATAATAACAGCTAGCTACAAATTCAATGACTCGAATAATTTGAATCACCTAATCCAAACAATAAGTGTTGTGTTGGGTTGGGTTTTTTTTGGTTTGGATTGGGATGAATTTTTTGAAAATCGAAAAATTTGGTATGGTTTGGTTCACGGGTTGGAACGTATTTGATCGAGTCAACCTGACCCACTAGAAAATAGGATTTACAATCCAACTCAACCCTACAGTACTTTTTAAATTGTTATGAATATTAAGAGGATTTTAGTTATTAATGTAACATGTATTATGAATAATATGGTTTTTTTAAAATAATTAAAAAAATGAACAATTGGACGATACAACCCGACTAAAAAATAAAGGGTTGAGTTAGGTTAGGTTATAAACCCTACTCGAGTCATTCGTGTCACCGACCTACAATTCTACGTGGGTTTGTGACGAATAAGCTAAGTGACCAATAAAGTAACGAAATTGATAAGGGTGAGGACGCGATTAGAGACTTTTTGTTACGTTGAAAGCATGAATATTCATTAATGGCTGCTGCTCTGTGCTATAAATACAAGGCTTGGGAGAGCAAATAAAACCATACAATTGCTGTTGGGAAATAGAGAGAGATCATATGGAGATGAAAAACAAGGTTGGTTTGGTGGCTATGGTGGTTGTGATGGTGGTTATGGCTCACTCCGCCACCACCATCGCCGCCGTGGATGAGCCCATTCAGGTCCCAACCAACGGCGGAGGAAGTGAATCCGATACACCCAGGGTGTGCCCGGCTACACTTTTGCCATGCAAAACTGACTCTGAGTGCTCTCCATGCAACTGTGTCAATGGCTCCTGCGTTTGATAAGAATATGAACAACATGTTGCTTTCCATGTTTTATGCCAAATAAATTGAAGCTTCCATTTATTTCCTTCCTTATCTCTCTCTAATCCAAGCTTACCGCTAGTAGATATTGTTCTCTTCGAGCATTTCTTTAGAGTTTTTAAAACGCGTCTACTAAAGAGAGATTTTCACACCCTTATAAAGAATGTTTCGTTCTTCTCTAAGGATCTCACAGGTTCTTGAATGCTTTTAATTTGTACTTCCACGAGTTGGGTCAAGCTGTTTGGTTGAGTTTGGTTGAATCACGACTATTTTTAAACTCAATCTAACCGTTCATGGAATAAAAATTTTAATTCAAATAATTTTTATTAAATAATAAACTCAACCCAATTATAAATTTATTTAAATTTTTGTATTTATAAAACTTAACTCAATTTGAAAAAGTTCGTAATTAAGTTAGGTTGATCTGATGTTTTATGTTACTCGTCCCATTCTTACATATATTTCTCATTTTACGTTTTTTTATAATGTTTCCATAATTTTATATTTCTAATTTCCCAAAAACAAGAATGAAATAATTAGATTAATTTCAACATAAATATAAAAATATATAGAAGCCAAGTCAATATTGGTCGGTAGATAGACACCTTCAATTTTGAACCATTAGCAGATATTATTGACTTCAGAGATTTTTAAAGGCGTTTTTTTCAACAATTCAAAAGTGGAATAAATCAAACAGACGTTCACTTGAAGTCGGGTGCAAGAAAGCGTTTATGAAACCACGCTTTTGTGTATCCTCACGAATGAAACTAATTCTCGGGAAGGGGCGTAATAAAATGAATCCTTGAGAAAAAAATTCACTAAAATGGAGATAAACTGAAATAACGTTCAATCTTATTTCTATTGAGTGGAAAAAAGATATAAGAAGTTCGTTTTGTTCATCTATGCATCTATGTGATGGGTAAATCCTCGTAAATATATAAAGTGATTCACCTGTTGACTTTATGTATAATTTGTTAGTCGATTATAATATATATATATATTTTTTTTGTTTGACATTTAATTCCATTTAAATTGATGCGAAAAAAAAGGTCAAACTCAAAATATAAAATACAGAGATAAAATTTATATTTGAGAATTAAGTTTTTTATTTTTCCCTCTTATTATCTATATGTTGACATACTCAAATAATTCATATTTAAAGTTTGACTTTGTTATAATTTTAATATTTTAATACAAGAATAAGATTATTATTTATTATTTAATCAATTATTTGTTGGACATTTATAATGGAAATTAAATGCATTTTATTATGAATTGACTTTTCTTTTTCAAAAAAATATTTTAAAAAATAAAAATTTCAAATTACAAGTGAAATTATTGAATTTAATTAAAACCATGATTGAATTTATTTTTTATTTTGAGCTATAAAATACGAAGTGTTCGGCTCTCAATTCTTCTTAGAGGAAGATTGGTTTGCTCGAGTGACCGATCCTTCCATAATATATTTCTGTCCTTCTGACATCCATTTAATACAATAAAAATTCTCGAAAAGAATTTTATTTAGAAATATGAATCTGGGTTTTTCAATTTATTTATTGATCGATCATATTGACATTCTTATTATTTTATGCGACGAACAAAAAAAAACTATAGGTCAAAATTTTAAATATAAAAATTAAATTCATTAATCACGGTGAAGAAGCTCGTCCTTTGAATTAATGTATGATTAATTTGGAATTCGATTCATTTTATAAAAAAATATCATTTGAGTTTCATTGGGCAGTGGGTAACAATATTCTTATAGCGTTTATCTTTGCAATTGGGACAAATGTTTCCTCGTAATCTATATCGTAAGTTTGAACATGTCCTTAGCTACCAACCCTGATATCTACTTACGAAGTGAAGGAGAGAAGCTATGAGACCAATAAGCAGAGCGACGGATTTGCTTTCACAGCAAGAATATCTCTGTGATACGTCCGAAAACTTTAAAGATGCCCTTTCTACTTTTGACATTGATTGAAACTTAATATTTTAACAATCAGTTGTATACGGGTATCTATACAGTGCTATGATATATTGTCCACTTCTGATATAAGTTCTCATAGCTAAAAGATCTCGTATCAATGAAAATCATAACTAAAAGATCTCGTATCAATGAAAATCATATGTATACAGTTTGGCTGCACTCCAAATATAATACCGTTTGTAATAACCTAAGGCCACCTCTAGCAGATACTGTCCGCTTTAGCTCGTTACGTATAATCGTCAGCCTCATGAGTTTAAAATGCATATCTTAGAGAGAGATTTTCAAATATTTCGTTCTCCTCTCCAATCGATATGGGATATCTCACAATTTTTTGAACCCTCTTTCAAGGATTTTCCGACGTCAAAAATATGTTTTTTTCAAACTCAATTAAAGTAGAAGAAGAACATGAAATAGTTATCGATCGACTATGAACACAACATTTTCTCCGAGCTCAAGATCGAACTAAATAAGTCTAGCTTGAAACATACTTCGATTTCTTTCACAAAAAGGTTACATATTTCAAAAGCTGTTTCCCCTACGACAATAAATAACAACGTTAAACTATGTCTATTGTGATGCATTGTCTTGTTTCATGAGCTTCAAGTTAAGTCCAATGTCCATTCCATTGTAAGCAATTGGTGCATACATCCATAGATCATCAGAGCTCAACAGCTGCAAACATTGGATTCAACACAAAATCAAGCCTTGAAAATTATGGAATTAAATGGTTTGTTCATTCAAAAATTACCTTGATTTGAAGCTGCAAGAACTTCACATACTCAACTGCTTCTTCAAGCATTGTACTGATATCAACCTGCACAAACCAAGATATTGTTGATCGTGTGATAAACACCGAGATCGTATATGTTCGTGTGAGATTGGCCTACCTTCGTGCCGTTCGGGACGAGGCTTTGTAACATTCTCAACCTTTCATTGATTCTTTCTCTCCTTTTCTGAAGGAAAATTTAAAGGAGTTGCATGTTAGATCAGAGTTCGAGAGTTCAAGTATGGCAACGGGAGTTCGGGAGTTTAACAATAGCGATCGGAGTGGTTTAGAGGGTTACCCTTGCATAGAGGCTTTGAGGGTCTGTGGCTGAGCCTCTACTGGCTCTTGGCTTTCCACTTGAGCTCAGGGTTGAGCTGGAAGTGATCCCACCATTACAGTCATCTTCTGAGCTGAAGCTGCTTGTGCACAGCCCATTTGGACTAACAATGTGATCCTCCTCTTCATT